TAAAGCACAATTGAAAATTAGTTTTCCATTATTTGGTTGCATACAAGAAAAGTTCAAGAAAAAGAAAAAATAGAAGGGGAAATGTGAGGATGAACGAGAGGGAAGTAAAAAAAGAGGTAAGGAGGAGAGGGAAAATGTAGCTTTCCTCGTTTTGTGAAGGAAAATATTTTCCATCATTAAAGGATAAAATTTTCCACCCTTGGAAAAATTGTTTCCCCCCTAACAAACCAAAGGAAATGGAAAAATCATTTTCCATGACATTGTTTTACATCAAACTAAACAGGGCCAGAATTTAGTCATATTTTATGTGGGAAAATATTGAAGTACGGAAATCTACGTAATTACTGGCATACGGAAATCTACGTAATTACTGGCATGGTCATCATCAAATTTGTGTAATTGTGAGATTATTTACTTATCTCTGACATTGATTGGATTTATGCTGGAAGCTCGAGTTCAAAGTGGCGAATTTTCTTTATTCTCTTATTGAATTGCGACGTTGATAATGGAGTTGGGCTTCAAGATGTTATGCGATAGTTATTAAAATTCAAGTTGGACCATTCAATTTAATTAGTGAAACTATGGAAAATAATCAGTTATTTGAAGGGTTTTGTTTTCAATATCCTATCAAGCTCAATTTTCAAATTGTAAATTGCGGAAAGTGTGAGTTTTGATGATAGAGGTGCCATCAAGAAAGATAATGGTTTAGTACTAATATTTTTTAATTAGAATTAAGGACTAATATTGTCAAAAAAAAATTGAGGTGATTGATGGATTACTTATAATGCACACGCACGCATTGTGAGTCTCTTAGCTTGTATATATAAATAGTGAAAGAAAGTCAAATATGTCAATTATTTAGAAATAAAAGGATGACATAATAAGACCAAACTCATCCTCAACCCACAATTAATTAAAGATCAAACACAAAGTTTCATATACGGCCGGCCAGCCATATATATATATATATATATATATAATTCTTCTTCTCTCTCCTCTTTTCTTCTTCTATCTTCTGCAACATTTTTCTTTTTCCCCCAATTTTATTTCTCTCCTCTTTTCTTCTTGGGGTTACTAGATCTGGTCAGGGGTTACTAGGTGGGGGGTTACTAGGTCGGTTAGGGGTTACTTGGAGTTACTAGGTCGGCGATCAGGGGTTACTTGGGGTTACTAAGGGTTACTAGGTCGGCGGTCAGGGGTTACTTGGGGTTACTAGGTCGGGGGTTACTAGGTCAGTTAGGGGTTACTTGGGGTTACTAGGTCGGGGGTTACTTGGGGTTACTAGGCCAGTTAGGGGTTACTAGGTCAGTTGGTCAAAGGTTACCAAGTCAGTCAGAGGTTACTTTTGTCTTGGGGTTACTTTATCTGGGGATTACTTTGTCATTTGCTGATTTGGTACCCTGCCACATGGTGCGACCAGAACGCACTGAAGATCAAATACTCAAAAGTATTGAACAAATTGTTTAAGGTTATTTATTTATTTATTTTTAAAAGAAGATTGTTTACGGTTTTAACCTAAACATTATTGCAATCTAGAGGTACACAAATGTTATAGCCTGAATATGTCACTGCTGCTGTCAGAGGTGTACAATAGCTCTAGAGCAAAAAGAAATCCACTAGATTTTATTTATTTATTTTTTTGAGGAACAGAAATCCACTAGATTTCATTAACCTGAATTATTCTCTCAATTAATGAACTTTTAATTTATTATTATTATTAATGAGGTTTTTTTTTTTTATATCAATGAACTTTAATACCAAGTACCTAGTACCAATAATTAGCTCCATTTTTAGAGCGAGCCAGTACCTAATGAACTTTAATACTCCACCGTGTTAACAATTATTAATTCCATTTTTAAAGCCACTAAATGAACTTTTTAATTTTTTATTAATGAACTTTAGTACTCCGAACATAATTAACTCCAATTTTTCCGCAATAAAAAAAAAATGAAAAAAAAAACTCCTCTTTTAGAGCCACCATCCAATTATATCTTCTTTTTCTTTCTATCATGTCTAGACTAAATTTTCCAAAATAAAAAAAATTCATATTATACTCATCATCAATAATCAATCAATAACTATATACTTCATCTGTTCTTTTTTACTTGACCCGCTTTGACTTTTACACTATTTATTTTTTCTCCTTTGACCGTCTTTTGTGAATAGTATGCAAGGAAAAATATATTCATGTAAGATCTTTTGGAATTCATCTCAATAATAACTATCATAATATGCAAATTTTACAATTTTTACTTATAGAGAATTAAAGTTATTGATCGTTAAAGTTTTTCATTGGCAAGCGTGATAAAAGAAACAGGTCAAGTAAAAAAGAACAGAGGAAGTACTAAAAGACACACCAGTAATGACACGTGTCATCTCCTGGTGTGTCCTTAGATGATTTTTTATAAAAAAAATTTATTAGGTTAGGAAATAAATTTTTTATAAAGATATTATTATTATTATTTTTATACATATTTCATATTAATACATAGTAATTATTATATTTAAAATAAATAGATGTAACAAATTTTTGTTAAAAAAAATAAAAATGGACAATTATAAATCAAAAAAATTAAACTCTTAAAATAATTTGTTACCTAAAAAAATATTGCTCATAATTTTTGCCTAATTTTTGCTACAATTGAAAAATGCAAATACAATTGAGTATTACCGTGTATGACACGGGATCTAACCTAATATATGTACTAAAAGACACACCAGCAATGACACGTGTCATCTCCTGGTGTGTCTTTAGTTTTTATTTTATTTTTTATTTTGGAAAAATATTACTTAAGAATCAAATCATTTACATATATAAAGTATAATAGAAGATTTGATGCGTCTTTCCAAAAAAAAAATATTGACAACTATGAACTTAAATTAAGCAAAAAATAAAATAATATTCTTATCATATGTGTGATATATGGAGTATTTGTTTTAGGAAAGACATACATTATATATGTACGTATTATATATGTATGTATTATATATGTCGTACGTAGTACGTACTACGTTTATTACAATAAGATTATATATTTTCTTAATAGAAGCTAAGCTACAAGCTTCAACAATGAAATGCCCATATCAAATCAACTAATGAAACTTTTGCTATTTCCTTGAATTATTTATGACTATAATATTAATCAATTAATACTACACTATAATTAACAATGGATATTTCAATAAAACTTGCCAAGACCAGCACATGTTGATTATTATTAGTGTGATTTTTTCTTGCCAAATTTTTGTTATTCCATTCAATTAATATGAATATAACATACAAAAGTAAATTTTTTGTTTTTTAAAAATAGTTATTAGAAATTACAATATAGTGTTAATTTTAAAAATTATTTATTGGAAATTACCGTGCAGGGCACGGGAGCCTACCCAGTATATTAAAAGATGTGTGTGACAATACCTCTTTTATTATTGGACATTACATATTCAACATTTCATTACGCCACATCACCACTCACAACCAATTTTATTCCATATAAAATAAGGAGATTGGAACACCCAACGGCCTAACATCTTTTTAAAAACTGATTATTTAATTATCTAAGTCAATTAATTAAACATGTTATAAATAAGTAAATAAATGTATATATTTGTGAATCACAATGTCTTATTTGGGAAGAAGAAGAAGAAAAAAAACACCATAAAAAAACATATAATCTCAAAATTTAATAAAAGTAAGAATCAGTGAAGAGATGTCAGTTTCTGACCCGAACCGTTAAACCCGACTGTTTCGAACCGATCCGAAAAGGAACTGAACTGTTTAAAACCCGTTTTTTGAAAACCGAAAACTAATCCGACCCAATTTTTTCCAACTCGAAATTGAACTGAACCGAATTTGTGCAAACTGTTCCTAGCCCGACCCGTTATCAAGACCGTTACAACCCAAAATGAAAGCAACCCAAACCAATTATGTTTAAACCCGATAGTAACCCAACCCGTTTTAAACAGAAAACCGTTAAAACCCGATAAAAATCCGATAAACCTAAATCGTTCCAACCCGTAACCCGTCGTGACCGAACCGGTTATAATCCGTAACCCGTTGTGACCGAACCGTTTACGACCCCTAACCCGTTGTGACCGAACCGTTTAAAACCCGTAACCCGTTATGACTGAGTCATTTACAACCTGTTACCCAATATGTTTATGATCTAATCTATTTCAACCCACTACTCGATAAACCCAACTTATTTATGACTTGGCTTGATTATAACATGACTCGTTCCAACCTGTTATCTGACTAATTCGACTCGATAATCATTCGACTTAATTTTAACCGATATGATTTGATTAGAAACCCGCTTCAAATTGGGTAAACTCGTTTTCAAACCAACCAAGTTCAATCTAAATCGATTATAACCTGAAACGATAATGATTGGGCCCGATTTCACCCGGTCTGTTTTGAACCGAAACCCATTTTCGAACCGACCCAGTTAAACCCAAACAGATTATGACCCGAACCAATTACGACCCGTCCTAATTAAGACCCGAACTGTTTTTAACCGGAACCCACATTAAACAGGCTAAACCCGTTTTCAAACCGACCCGGTTCAACCCAAATTGATTGTGACCCGAACTGACTAGAACCCGACACGATAAGGACACGATCCGAATAGAAACTGCAGTTAAAAAACCAAACCGAACTGACCCAATAGTTTTCAAAACCGACCCAAACCGACCCGCTTATTATTTCAACCCGTTATAAACCGATCCGTTATAACCCGAAACTGATAAATCCAACCCAAACCCGAACTGTTTAACCAAATTGACACCCCTAATTAGGTGTAATATTTGAGCCACACACTAGTTTTTAATGTCAAAAATAATGTAGAAGAGAAAAAGTTTTAGAGCCACCATCCAATTATTCTTTTGGCCCTACCAATACACCAACTAATTAACTCACCTATAAAGTATTGGCTCCATAAACCTTATAAATTTCAGTGAATTTATATGATTCATCATATGTTTGTAGAAAATAATAATAGGAAGTAAGAAAGAAAATTAAGAAAATGGCTTTAGATTCTGCAATTATCCCTCTCATGACCCCTTATCAAATGGGTAACTTCCATCTTTCTCATAGGTGAGCTTAATAATTCATTTTTATTTTAATTTTTTTTGCACTGTTGTAATTAAGAAGAATTTACAGTTATACAACAATGATTTTAGATTTGCCATACTTATATGTGACAATTAAGTTGATATTTTTTTATCATTAGGATTGTTTTAGCGCCATTGACTCGACAAAGGTCGTATGGAAATGTTCCTCAACCACATGCAATTCTATATTACTCCCAACGGGCGTCAAACGGTGGTATGCTCATTACTGAAGCAACTGGAGTTTCTGACACCGCTCAAGGGTATGTCGTAGGTCGCTAGCTTTAGCTCCACACTCTTTAGTGACAAAAGAATCAAAACGTTCTTCCGTAAGCTTTAAACCTATTTTATTGTGCAGGTACTCGGATACACCTGGTATATGGACAAAAGAGCAAGTTGAAGCATCGAAACCTGTTAGTTGAGACGATTAATACAAGAGGGGAGGGGGGTGAATTATATAGAGTTCCTAATGACTACTTTTTGCGGATAAATAAACAATGCGTATAGGAACTTAAGAAAACACACAGATTTTACGAGGAAACCTTCCAGGGCCCAACTGGAAGTATAACCTCGACACTACCTTAGGGTTTTCAAACACAAAACACTTTACTATAATAGGGCAAACACCGAGTTACAATCTATTAGACACAGACCTTTATTTCACAAGTTCCTCACTAGACTTGCTACTTGATAGGACCCTATCCTACCCAATCTAAGCACCACACTTAGATTCACTCGTACCACGCACCAAAGTACTACACGTACTGCCAAAGTACAAAACACTCGTACCACCCCAGTACAAAACTCACAGCCTCACCAAGAAGCTCACACAAAACTGTATGTAACACAAACTATAAATATCACCCAAATAACCCAACCAATACAAATATAAGACGCCTATTATGATAGGTAAGCAATGCATGAAATCCGAAACTAATATGATAAGTTAAAAGCTTGGTAAACTTACTCAGTTAAAGCACTGTGATTTCTCCACGCATAAACTCACAAAAACTAAAATCATTTTGTTCTCTACTATTTATACAAGTAACACTTGTATAGAAAGTAGGTTTTCTAAAAAGATAAATATGTTAACTTGACTTATCTTTTAAACACGGTTTTAGCAAATCAAGTGAAATAGAATCTTTTCCGAAAATAAGTATAAAAAGATATTTATCAAGAAGACTTATCTTTCTTAATAAATCGACATTTAGGGAAAAATAATCTTTTTAGAAAATCTTTTCCTAAAATCTATCTTTTATTATTTTCCATATTTATTTTATTTTACCAAGCAAACTTATCACGTTTCTAATAAATTTCGTGCACTAACCTACTTACCATATTAACAATAATTTCTAAGAATAAAACCTTAACTATTATTACTGCGCCGCACTCTGATCAGATGAATTACTTGGCTTCAAGCATATCAAATTCCACCAAAGAACTTAACTGCTAGTCTTCAAGTTCCTGTTAGGGAACTTAGTTCTTGTTAGAGAACTCTTCCTCTGATTTGTTTAACTTCTTCAATAAAGATCTTCTTCATGTCTTCTTAGATCCAGATGGTTCTTCAATCACCAAGATTATTCTGCACCTTGACTAATCACACACTAGTAAATCTTTATTAGTCGAGTTTGCTTTTAGTTCAAGTTCCTCATCATCAAAACCATTATGATTCAACAAAACCAATTGTTGATGTTGTGCATGCCAAAGGGGGTATATTTTTCTGTCAACTATTACATGTTGGACGAGTTTCTAATGAAGGTCAATAGCTAAACCCTACTCTTTTTTTTTTTTTACTTTATTATTATTATTATTATTATTATTATTATTATTATTATTATTATTATTATTATTATTATTATTATTATTATTATTATTATTATTATTATTATCTCAAGTTGCTAAATATAAAAAAATTGGGCAATTATATTATTGATCAAGCAATTATATAGTTGATCTTTTTCAATTGTAAAGAATTGTTAGCATATAAATGGATAGAATGGTATTACAAACAAAGATTTAGAGGTGTTCTGATAATTAATTTCTACAGTTGGATTAAATTTGCAATAACTAACTAACTAACTTTATCATGTTATGTGGTTTTGTTTTAATTTTCTCTTATTTTTCATCGTGGAAAGGGACTTAATACATTTTACTATTCATTTTACTTACTCTCATAATGACTTAGAACATCTCCAATGGTTTATAATAGGGTCTTGCTTGCAAAATTTAAAAATATTAAAGTAGTAGCTTGACCATTGGAATAACATTGGAAGACCTGCTTCAATGAGCAACACTGCTCACTCAAGCAATACTGCTTGAAAATTTGAAGAAAATAACTTTTTTTTTCTAATTAAAAAAATAATGCAAAGTAATTTCCACCAATTGGAATACTATGTGTGTAAAATTGCTTGGCATGCAAAATGCTACGGAGTAGATAGAGATTAAAAAAAGATACAGTACTTAATATGATAAATATGTGATATGTTTCTGTTTTCTTTCTTTCTTTTTTTCTTTTTTTTTTTCTTTTTTTTCTTTTTTTTTTTGTTTGGGTAATATCTCAATCACACTATTTTCAAACATTTTAATTTTTATGAATCAGAAATTGATTTTTATTTTTTTTTTTGGTTTTATTTGTATAAACTAAAAAGGTAGAAAAAAAAACCACAATCATCTATGATATATAAGTAGTAAATAAAAAATCACTATAGTAAGCAATAATTTTAATAAAATAATAAACATAAAAAAAAAAAAATTAAACAATTGTTTGATGAGGCAAGCTACAAGGTGTTGTAGCTAACCAATGTGGAACTTTGTAGCTTGAAACCTTTGTAGTTCAAAAATCAAATGTGGCAAGACAAGCTACAACATCTTATAGCTTGCCATTGGAGATGCTCTTATGTAGCTTCGCATCAAGAATTTATTGACTTTATCTCATATTTAGGTTGTGTTGTCATTGATTGAACATTTTATATTTATTCAATTTTCTTTAAGTTGATTGTTTTTTGTTGGTTTATGCAATGATCACTTTACTTGTGCTTCGTATTTTGTTTCCCTATTTATTTAGTATTCACTTGTGCTTTGTATTTATCCCTAGCCTTTTCTAACTTAAGTCTTCTTGTTGCTAGGTTTCCAGCCAAATGGCCAAGCTCCAATCTCTTGCACTGATAAGGCTTTAACACCAACAACTGAAGGTCCAAAATTTTCGACCCCAAGGCGACTAACAATGGATGAGATACCTCTGGTGGTGAATGATTACATACTTGCTGCTAGGAATGCCATAGAAGCTGGTAAGTATTCGCTCAATCAACCTGATAATATGTCGTGGGAGGTTGTACCTTTGAGTATGTGTTCTAATCATGCCAAGATGGTAGCATTTTATCATTATCTTTAAGGAATTCCTTGTTAAAATCTTTAACACTTTCTTCATTTTTCTTTTATTGTATCATAAACACTTTTATACTATTGATATAGTTTTCTTTGACCATTATCTTTTATGATTTTTCCATAATAAAAAGGAAAATTTGCAAATTACCACCCAAAAATAGTATCAATTTCTAAATAACCACCCATTAAAAAATTTATTTTAAATTACCACCCACTAAAATATTTAATTACGCAAATTACCACCCTTTTTAAATTTCCGGTTGATTTCAGGTGTGTGGAGCCCACAGTCGCTATTGCCCTCCTAATTTTTTTTTATTTTCTGTCGATTTCACTATTGTAAGCTACTCCTCTCTCAATTCTCTCAGTCAATTCTCTCTGCAAATTCACCTTACTCCATAAATTCTCACCCACTCTTCAAATTTAGATCCTAAATTGCAGATTAAAACCCTAAATTAGTTTAAGTTGAGAGAAAAATTTGCTCCTGTGTAATTGGGGTTTAGCTTGAAGGTTGTTTGCGAAAATCACCATTGTTAGGGCGTCTGCTGGGGACCACGTGCTGAGTTCATTCACCTGACAATTGCTTGTTGTCAATGGCGACGTCAGAGGTTAGCAATTAATCAACAAGTTTTCCCCAATTTCAACAAGTTTTCCCCAATTTCAGCACAATTAGAACCCTAAATTTCAGCACAATTAGAACCCTAAATTTAAAGAATGTAATAGGTTACCTGATGCGAATTCACCTCTGAGGTTTCTTCAAGATGTTACAACAATTACAAGGGGCTGAAATTTGAGGAATTTGGGGAAATTTTGAAGTCCAAATCGCAAATTAGGTTAGGAGAAATGTTATATAGGGGGACAATCGGGGGAAATTCAATTGGGAAGGAGAAACTAGCCGTTAGGAGGGCCCCACTCATCTGAATTCCACCGGATTTTGAAAAAAGGTGGTAATCTGCATAAAAAAATATTTTAGTGGGTGGTAATTTAAAATAAAATTTTAAATGGGTGGTTATTTAGAAATTGATACTATTTTTGGGTGGTAATTTGCAAATTTTCCTAATAAAAAACATAATTTTGTGGATCTAGTTAGATTAGTCTCAAATTTTATTTTTTAGGTATCATCTTTTTATACTTTTCACAGTAGTGTAGTTAATGATATTAATAGTCAAAGTAATGTTCGGAGTATAAGATAAGCAAACGTGAAATCACTCATATGGTGCAATAAAAAAACAAAGGAAATATTATTCATATCTTTATATGTCTACCTTTATTTAAGTGATGATAAAATGATTACAAAGCAATCAAATACTACGTATAATTTAAGCCTTTTCCTATGGCTTTGAGAGTGTCCAATTGTTCATGATGAACCCTCTCCGTGACCCAACAAGCTTATATAAGGTGCAAGTCTTGGAGGAGAGAACAGGCGCGAGGAAGAATATACTAAGAGTATTTTAAGGGTTAAAATGGATTCAATTCAATCATTAACATTATCAAGTGTTTGGTTTGGTTAGAAGGGGGTGGGTAACAATTACCATTACCTTTTTCCTCTCATTTGTTACCTCTCAAAAATAAAAAGAGTGAGGTTTAAGTGATTCATTTCCATGTTTAAAACCAAACAAATTAAAAGATAACGGTTAAATGATTCATTCCTTTCTCCTTATTTATTTTTTTTCCACTCCATTATTTCTAACTTACATACCAAAAACCTCTAAGGGTTTATGTCATTTTTTATTAAGTTATATTTTGTATATAAAATATTAGTTGGGCTCAAAGCCACAAAGGCATTGTTTCCTTCACCTAATATTAGTTGTCTAAATTAAAACTTATAATACACATTTTCTTTATAAGAGATGATAAATTCATTCCAATGTCATAAAGAAGTTTTGTAGGTTGGAATAATTTTGTTTGTTTTCACTATAATTTATAATGTTTGGCCTTATAAGATGTTAGCATTCAATTTTGGTCTATTCATATAGATTTAAGTGTCCGATTTTACTTTCAACAACTTTTTCAATGATATGATGTCTTTGATATAGCAGTGCATAATAAGGTGAAATATCACCATATGTGATGGACTGATGGTAAAATAAACATGGTAGTTAATGAGGTCTTGATCATTTGAAATTCCAATTTTTACTACGGCTAATGCAAGAATGAAATTTCATTCTTGTAAAAGGTATGATTTTATGTTTTCTTTGTTTCATGAACTAACTAAAGCTAATCTTTTATAGGTTTTGATGGTATTGAAATCCATGGTGTTTTTGGATACCTTATTGACCAATTTATGAAAGACCAAGTAATGACCGAACAGACTATTATGGTGGATCCATAGAAAACCGTTGTAGATTTGCTCTGGAAGTAGTTGAAGTAGTAGTGAAGGAGATTGGTGCAGGTAAGGTTGGGTTTCGAATGACTCCTTTTGCTGATTTTATGGAAGTAGGAGACTCAAATCCCGAAGCTTTAGGCCTATATATGGCTAACGCCCCGAACAAGTTTGGAATCCTTTATTTCCACGTAATTGAACCGAGGCTGACTTCTATTGGCTAGGTTAAGGAATCTCTACATAGTTTACTTCCCATGAGGAAGGCTTTCACTGGCACTTTCATTGCCACTGGTGGTTATAAGAAAGATGACGGAAATAAGGCTGTGATAAAGGTGTTGTGGTCCCAGCCCAATTTGCAATATTCATATATTGCTTTTGGACTCATGTATTATGGGCTATTTTTCATGGACTTGTTAAGTCTTATTTTTGGTCCATAT